TCTTTCAAGTGCAATGAGCATACTTGGCACTTGGCATACTAAGCATCAATTTGAGTCAAGTAACAGCTAAGCCACACATTTTTATATACAATTCCCTGGCCTATGGAAGATGTAGAAATAGAATTTTACACTTTTACAAGAAAAAGATTAGTTCTCCAGCAAATCTCTACTTAATCACTCTACTTTTACTTACATCATGAATTACATTTCTGTATTAAATTTATTTTGAAATCTAAACCAAACAAGAATCAAATTACAACAACTTTGAGCCAAGTATTCAACAGAGGCATTGTTCATTACTGGCCTGTAATTCTGAATTATATTGACTCGTCCTGCTGATTTTCTCCATACCTGCCCGAAGTTATATTTTAGGATAGGACAGATCCACCTTTCTAGAGCATCTTCCATGAAGAACAAAGAAGGAGGTACAGCCATAGAGAGCTGGCTGACAGATAAAAAGAGAGTATTTTAAGACACTTCAGAAAAGCATGCCACCCCTGGTCATTGTGATGTCTTCTACCTCAAACCTGTGATGCCTCTTCCAGAACATTTACCTGAAAATTTACAGTATTAATAGAGTACATTTACATTTCTAGCAAAGGCATGCTTGTTCACCAAAGAGTTCCAGCAGACTAACATTTAGTAAATTCACCTTGAAAACACCTCCAAGTAGTAACTAGTTATATCAAGTATAAACTAGCATACAAAAACATTTTTAAATTACAAGTAAATCTATTTACCCTGCTTCAAGAGTTAAATTTACTTCCCCCAAAGCCACTTGTGCAATCAGAATACCGTAGCTGGCTGGCCAAGAAACACTCTGGACATGATCACAACGCCACTAGGTATCTTCATTCCATCTGTATTTATTGAAAAATATTTACATATTGATCACTATGCTATTAGCTGCTTTAATAGCATCTTTACATAGAAGAGGTAATGAAAAACATCCCATTAGGATGGGGAAAGAGGTTAAAATGTCTTTTCAAATGTCTTTTTTTTTTTCCCAAGCTGTCATAAGCGAAGAAAGTTCTCAGACTGAGTGTGCTGGAGTCCCACAGTGTGTGCGCCACAGATCAACAGCTTTGCTGACAATAGCATCAGTGTTATCTTGAGGAATCTACAAAAGATCAGGGCAAGATGTCTTCTCAGAATACTTTATTTGGACTGGTTTGTTTAAAATAATTATTTTAAATTTCCCGTTCAGATTTTATCTCTTTATAAAAAAGAAAACAAAACTAGAATCCCATCTCCCTGCCCTACCATGCCACCATCCCTCAGTCCTACATGCACCATATTAACTCCAGGTTTTAGACAAAAAGATTTTATTTACAAAATGGTAAGATGATCACCCAGGCATCTCACAGTTCACACATCCCTCACCTGACATCAGGCAGAACTTATACTGGCCATCCATGACCACAAATGTATCTAATCTAACTAACCTATCTTACATTGGGATCCTACAACCCTGCTGCAATGCTCATTACTATTCATAGAAGGAAAGTTCAGGGTCAGGTTCATGATCCCATCCTGACATCAACAGAAAACATACCTTGAGTCTATAAATTCACACTCAGGCAAGGAGCAAAAAAGGTGCCAGAAACCAACCCTGTAAGGAGCTTCCAGAAAAATTAACCTAACCTCATGTTGCAAATGAGTGAATGCATCACCACACCTCATCTGCACTTACTTTCACAGAAAAACCCTTTAGTATCACAAGGAATATTGTCAAATCTGTACAAACATAGACAACGCATTCCCCAAAGCCTAAAAAATCATTTCATTCTACGAAAGCCTTACCTCCTGATAGAAAAAACTATTATACTCATCCCTGTGCATTCTCTCTTCGCCTTGGTACTACTACACTATTCTCAGTAAGTAATGCAATAGTATCTTATGGTATGTTTGCAACAGGCAAATGACTTCAAGGCTGAAACACACCTTTATAAACCATAAAATGTAATGCAAAGCACAATAGAGTACTTACATTTTCCAAAAACTGTGTGATCTTTTCTGCAGTATTCAGTGCCATTATCTTAATTTTAAAGGTTAATAGTATCTCCACAGCAACAAAAACGAGAATCTTGCAGGACCCACTAATAACTTTGTCCCAAACTCTATAAAAAAATGAAAAGGAATCACTAAACATTATTGTACTGCTGATCTGCTTATTTATCTGCTATAACAGTCTTTGTACAATCACCTTTTTCCAGATTATTTTTCTGAATAACAGCAATATATTGAATTATTCGGGTCAGGGTAAATAAAAGACATTTTATCAACTCCTAAATCTGTACAGAGCAGAGTGATGACAAGCAGTAATGTATTGATATGGTGTGGTTTTGTTTAGAAATGGAACTGTTTACAAGCTCAAATACAAAAAGCAAATCTTGTTTTAATAGCTTGAACTGTGACAACTATTCTACAGTGTATGGTAAAGGTAAGAATTTTTCCCAGTGCAAAAAAGGAAACAAACTTTATTAGCATGCCTAATAAAGACATTCTTCAAGCAGTTAAGTAGCTGAAAATTCAAAAGGATGCAATACTGAACTACTACATGTCAAGAGGCTAACTATTCCAGGTCATTGCTGAATGAGATACAAATATATCTGTAGGATATAATCCATGATGTTTGAATTGGACACAAGGAACAACTATTAAGTCTTTCAATCCATCCCACAGTGCACAGACTCTCTCAGAATTACCTAAGCACTCCTACCACTTGTATGAAACTGTACCTGGACCTCACGGTTTTAACAAAACCTGAAGGGCAGGCCTCCAAAGGCTGCAAGTACTTTAGCAACAGAACTTCAATGAATATTAAAAGGGATCCACAGTACTAAAACAGCCTGCAACAATTTGAAATCATCCTTCAGCCAGCAGCTCTATCTCAGGCCCAACTCAACAGACTCGGGATGAAAGATTATCCAAAACCAGTGTGAAACCATCTGTCAGATGGCAGCTTTGATGGGCTTGCATTATTTTTAGTTCTTGAATTTTAAGAGCAGTGTCAGAAAGACTTTCTGAGGATTACTGTTCTTGCTCCTTCTGGCCACTTGTTAAAAGCGTTTCTCCTTCCAAACAAAAACATGGGGGACAAAGATCACATACTATGCCCCATCATCTCTGAATACAGTAACACTAACTGGAAAACATCTTCTGCAGCCCACCTGTAAACTTGGATCTATGGGTGTGCTTCTTCCAAAGACAACTCAATTTTTATATGACCTTCTCTCTCAGAAGAACTTGCCCTTCAGCCTGGAGTGCCAGCAGAACACAATGCAGGCATAACATGAACTGAAGAGTAGGTATCACACCTTTGAACAGGAAGGAGTTAAGAAGTGAGAGTCCAACAAAGAGCCATGAAGATGATTAAGGGACTGGAGCATCTCTCCTATGAGGAAAGGCTGAGAGAGCTGGGGCTGTTCAGCCTGGAGAAGAGAAGGCTTAGGGGGGATCTCATCAATGTATATGAATATCTGAAGGGAGGGTGCAAAAAGGATGGAGGCAGGCTCTTTTCAGTGACAGTACCCAGTGACAGAACCAGAGGCAACAGACACAAACTGAAACATAGGGGGTTCTCTCTGAACATCAGGAAACACTTTTTCACTGTGAGGATGACTGAGCACTGGCACAGGCTGCCCAGAGAGGTTGTGGAGTCCCCCTCCTTGGAGCCATTCAAAAGCCGTCGGGACATGGTTCTGGGCAACTGGCTCTAAGTGGCCCTGCTTGAGCAGAGGGATTGGTGAGACCAGATGACGTCCAGAGGTCCCTGCCAACCTCAACCTTCCTGGGATTCTTTGTGAAAAGCTTTCATAACTCCTAATGTGGAATGGTTGCTGCTGTTACACAGTGCTTATTTTCACACTGTGACTCAAGTCAATTCTTTGTCAGTTTCTTAACCTTCTATTCACATAACTCTTTTGACACTATTTTCACAATCTCTCCATTCATCAGAAAATTTAGACTAGAATTTAACTTATAACGAAGAAATGAGGAAAAGAAACCCACATGGACAGATGGGAAAAAAGGCACTGCCAATTTCTTTCCCCTTTGCAATTTAGTTTTAATTCCTCATCTCGCTGTGATTAAAAATGAATATAATTCCCATATGGGCAGGAACAATAAATAATCCAAGATGAAAAATCTTACTGCTTCCTTTGTGGTTCAAGCATCCCAGGACAAGTGATCACTGTAAATATCACATTGATGTTGAAGTCAGGTCTAGAAGATTTAAGCAAGCTATGAGAAAACTGAGACCACATTCCTGTTCCACACTGTACAGGCCATCCCTGTTTACTTCTAATACATTTTCCTTCACAAACGTAGCTGTTTAGAACCCAAGAACAGCTCCCCATGTGTTTCATGGGCATCAGAACTGTAATTATGAATGACAATACAGAGAGTAGCAGACCTCAAAACAGGAAAGAATTTTTAAAGTTCATACTAAAGCTCATGTTAATTTGAATACAAACTTACTAATCCGAATATAAAATACCCAGCCTTCTTTCATTATTTTGCTTCCAAGTCTCCTGACTTCAGTCTCCATAATTACATTAGAGTAGGTTACATTTCGTGCTCAGAAAACACTCTAATGTCTTCCTGCATTATTTAGTCTGATTCCAGAACAAATGTTTTAACAATGGCAAAAACAGATGCAGTATCTAAATCACCAGTGTCTAACAAATTTTGGAAGACGGTGCATAGCAAAGTGGATGAGATGTCAGCACTAACCAGCTGCGTCTGCTGCAGTATTTTTCCCCTTAATATTTCCAGCTACTGTTACTCTTAATGCAACTCCACGAGCAACAATGATAGGGGAATGACTGTGTGACACTGTGATAAACAGACCAGTAGTCAGCACCTTGTCTATACCAGTAGAGCCAGGAATAGCAACATAAAGTGTGTCAGAAAAGTGTTTACTTAGAATGGAAAAAACCCACAGCAGTTTCAAGGAAACATGTATTTTGATGACTCTATTCTAATATAGCAGACTTTATGCACTGTATTTCTACTGATGATAACATACATATTCTACTTTCACTTTTTAAATAACAGCAAACACTTAAGATCAAGTATACCGTCAGAGATTTTGCAACTTTTAACCCATTTTTTTATACTCCTAGAGATGGAAAAATTATTACAGAAATGTCAGGCAACTCTGCCTACAGCCCTACTCAGGAATGCTGAAAAAGAAAGTATACACTAAATTCATTACATTTTCTGTGACTATCATCCTCTGTGAAATGTAACAGTATTCAATTAACCACAGGTGCACTCTTGTGGGTACTTCTTGAACAGTGAAATAGTAGTAACGGCCACAAGGAAAAATAAAGAGAAACAGGAAGCTATGAAGGTAAAGAGCATGCCAAGGATTATGCAAATGAAGCCATTTATTTTTCACTGAGCTTTTCCTGTAGACACGATACGACTTACTCTGTGTGTGCATGTGTGTGAAGGCAAGGCATTCTCAAGACAGTTTCTGAGGTTCCCCAACCACTACAGTGCAATAGTATACACTAGGTAGAGTATACACGAGCACATATCACAGCATTGCTGCTCTCTCTTTTTCTGAAATATTACCATTAATCTCACAGCTTTTCCCCCTAGGCTGCAGGGTAAGCACACTCAACCTTATTCCCTGGTCTGGTCCTCCAGTCATCCAGGCCAGAGATGTTTAAAGAGAACCAACGCTTGCTCCTCTGCCTGCACTTCTGGGTGTCCTTCCAATGGTAACTGGGCATGGAGGGACATGATGAGGCTCGCACAAGTCTCATCCCGATGTTATGTCATGGTCTTATGCCCATCTGTCTCCGGAGCTGGGAAGCAGCTCAATTATTTAGACAAAGGCAAACAGACTTAAGTTTTCTCTATAGTAGTAGCCCACACGCACATTCTTACGCCCTCCCACTGCATAGTAAATTTAAAGCATTTTTCATATTTCTGTTGTGTCTACTAACAAATGACTTATATTTTTACCACTAGATGTCATTTCTGCAGGACATGGAGACCACAGATGTAAAACTACAGAAGCCATACTTTAATACATGAGGTAGTGCCAGTTTGAAAGGCAGTTATAAGATTTCAAGTGAACTACCAAATACTTTGCCACAAACAAGTTACCAGAGGCTAATAACCTAACACAACCTCATTAGCTATTACAGTCCTGCTAATGCCAAGTCTTCAGTGCGGAATACAAACAGTGTTAGTCAGGGGCAGGATATGTGATTGGCAACATTAGGCCACAAAAAATGCCTGGCTTACTCACAATTTCATCTGCAAAGCTGCACTACTTCTGTTGTAGCTGGATCATCCGGGGTGACAGTGCTGGAATAAACTGGCAGCCGAAGTGCCATTTTGCCTGTGGAGCTGAAGCCACAAACGGGACACGGAGCTTTAACAGCAGGGCTCTGCGGCTGAGGGCCCATACAGCATCATTTGAAAGCTCTCCAAGCATGGGGCTTACTGAACAGATTGACCAGATAACACTGTTGCAGAATTCGAGCAAATAGGGCAATGGTGAGTATAAAAACAAAGGTGTGATCCAGTTCTCTTCCTGTTTCAGAGACAAGTAAGCCTTTCTGTCCCTCTCATGCCTGTGCTACAGGCTGGTTCATGTTCCAGGAAGCACCCTGTCTATATTCCAGGTGGGATACAGACCCCTGAGGATACAGTACCTTCGAAATGGCCAGTCTGCTCCTCTCTTTTACCAATATGGCACCTTTAAGAAGTTTGTTAAGAAACTTGTCGCATAGTATGTCAAGTGTATTAGGGCAAGCAAAGACACTGAATAAGCTCAAAGGAAAAGTTTCCACATGAAACCTGTATATATACATTTTCCAAGCCTGTTTAAATTAAACTGATGTATAAATTTTACCTATGGTGTAACTAGGAGAAGTGTGCTATAAAACAGTATGAATGACAATGCCTGTCAGGAGTAAATCTGGTATTGTGCAACTTCATCTCACCATTATTGGATAAAATTTCTGCATAGCATATACAAGTCTTGTACACCTTAGACCAAAAAAGAAAACCATGAAATTTAGATCTAACTGCCTGGCAGAGAAGACTACAATTTACAGAAAGCAAGCAACCTCTCTAAGAAATACAGTACTAAATCATAAATTAAATTAAATCATAGAAGACTGAGCTCAGATCATCTCTCACTTGACAAAAAAAATAAGTAAAACTCACAGGAGTACTGGAGACATGTTTTCAATTCTCAGCAGTTCCAACACTGCCTTTTGGATACATTTCAGATAAGCATTCAGACTTCTAGATTCTAATCCAAACTGAATCCCCAAGCATTAATTAAGTTCATCTGTCACATGCTACCCATGAAGTATGTTACTTCCTTAGCAAATGAGCCCATTATGATTACAACTGAATAATTCAGAAACCTAAACTGACAATTAAAAGTGCACTTTTATCACGTTCCCACAAGAACTGTTGGGAAAAGGGATTGCTGTGCTATGAGAAGTACCAATACTGAAATTTGTTTTTACTCCAGAGTGATACAAAAAGCCAGTATTTTGACCTTTTCCATGAAAAAAAAAATTTCAGGTCATCAAAATATTCTATTTCAGTAAGGTAAAACAGTATATGAGAATGCTAAACAGTACACTAACTAGATAAAATATTTCATATAAATGAACTGATTCAAAACGGTAGACGTTTGAAGCTAAAGATTCTGACAAGATGAAATATGAAATAAAAATTCTTCATCTAGATTTTTTCTTTTACAGTATCAAGATGACACAGCTCATTTCAATTTTCATGTTCAATTTTCAACAGAAATTTTAAAAAACCTTGAATCTTCCAATAGCAAAACTGGTATGAAGCAAATTCCTCTCTCAGCTCTAGTTCTCAGCCATAAGACCTAGTAGCAAAATTACATCACATAAGCTGTAAATAAAAATACCTCCTAGAAGACATGCAAAGAGGTTCCTAATGCAAAGGCTTTTTCAGATCACAGAAGCCTACAGAAAAAAAGGCCTGAAGAGACTGGCAAGTCCCAGGTAGAGCAGTCACTTCTACTGACAGTAGTTTAAATTTTAAGGCATTAAGTTTCATACAGAGAAAGCACAATGAAACAAGGTAAATCATTATCTGCTGAAAGTAACCTACAAGTGCAAATGTGAAATAGAGATGCAGGCAAACCATACGTGTTCAATGGCTTTTAAGGATGTAACAAATATTTTACACATGCTTACATAATTTCTGTAGCCGTAAAAGTAGTAAAAGCTTTTAACCACCACATCACGCACAACCACTACACAGAGATGACTATTTTGGAACCTTATAGGTGCTTGATGAGAAGAACTTGCCATGTAACAATTACTGTGCTGCACACAACGTAACGCCTAAAGGTCTACTACCACATCTTCAAGTTTTGGTTCAAAAATTTTTTTTTTTAATCTCAGACATATTCCTTGCCAACAGTAAAACACACAGAACCTCAAAGACCATGGTACAACAAGACTAGAGCGCATGATTTCTCATCTTACAGCTTGTTCCCTAAAACCCCCTTATTTTCATAAGGGCAAATAAAACATTTTTTAAAACAGCTGTTTCCCACTTTCCTTCACGAAATGTGAAGTCCCAGATAAACAAGAAAGATTGCATTCACTATTCAGATTATGACCAACTTTACCACTGTAAAGCATTTTCTACAGAGCATTTTACAAAGCTCTCTGTTTCCACACTAGGTTCCTATACTAGCCACTGAAGTCCTGGAGGTGCTGGAGTAAAACTTCCCTTGAACCTTGTTACTTCTCAAACTTTTCAGGCAGCTGAAAATGAAACCATTGTTTTCTTTGTTCCACCTCCTGCTCAGCTATTAGCAACTGTTGTTAATGCAGACAGGATATGCTTCTCTACATCTAGCTTGAATTTTCTGCTTTCCAAGAGTTCTCAGGCAGCAGAACTAGAGAAATCATACAAGCTTCATTTCAAAAGCCCTTCAGCGAAGTGCCATGCACAGGAATTTTCCCCTTTTAAAAGCTGGACAACCTATTTCTAACTGTAGAATCCCGATATAATGCACTATTTCGTTAACTTTGTAACACTCAACCTGCCCAGTACTTTTTAAAATAAACATTTTGTCATGGTTTAACACCAGCCAGCATTTAAGCACCACATAGCTGCTCACTCACTCCCCCCCACCACATTGGGATGGAGGAAGAATTGGAAGGGTAAAAGTGAGAAAAACTCGTGGGTTGAGATAAAAACAGTTTAATAATTACAAAGAAATAATAATAATTTTTAAAAATTGTAAGGAAAAGAGGGAAAAAAAAACGAAGAGAAAGGAAAATAAAACCTAAGAAAGACAACTGATGCAAATGAAAACAATTGCTCACCACCAACTGACCAATGCCCAGCGAGTCCCCGAGCAGCGGCGCCCCCCCCAACCTCAACCCCAGCTTTATACGCTGAGCATGACGTCATATGGTATGGAATATCCCTTTGGTCATTGTGGTCAGCTGTCCCCCCTCCCAACTTCTTGTGCACCCCCAGCCTGCTCGCTGGCAGGGTGGTGTGAGAAGCAGAAAAGGCCTTGACTCTGTGCAAGCACTGCTCAGCAATAACGAAAACATCCCTGTGTTATCAACACTATTTTCAGCACAAACCCAAAACACCGCCCCATACAAGCTACTATGAAGAAATTTAACTCTATCCTGGCCAAAACCAGTACACATTCCCAAAATCTTTTTCATCTAATGATAATAGAGTATTATAATCACTCCCTAAGCAAGGATTTTGGTTAAAAAGCCTGAAAACTGACATTCAGCTATCTGTCACTAAGAGGGGATTTGGAGTTTTAAATCCTAGGAGGCATTAAGTGTCTAATCAGCCACTATATTCAACTCCATTCTTTTTTAATTTCAATGCAAGAAATCATCACGCAGAGATTATCTTGCATCAGTAACAAGTGGAATCAAAACCAATTTTATCATTTCCAAGTCAACAGTAAACTCAACTCCATAATCTTACAGATAAAGTAAGGAAAGCTCTTTGCCTGCTAGTGATGACAAAAAGCTGAAATTACTATGTAATTACAAATAGAAAGAAAAAAAGAGAACTTGCCTCTGTAAACTGGACTCAGGTAAACAGCCTGCAAAACACTTTTTAAACCAAAGATCGTAAGGGAGTTTGCTCATTGCAGCACATGCTTTCAGATGCATCAGGAGTCTGTTATCTTCAATGTTCAAATATTGCTCCAGAATTTTTGGCTGAGAAAGGAATTGGAAAATTTTAGATAACTCACATCAGAGTACCCTCCATTGTTAAGACACACTGTAAGACAAGAAACGTCTTAAAAATTCAATTGGCATAAAATAACATGTTAAAATAATGAATTTGCTTTGTTTTAACTAAAAACATCATGTTCCAAAACACAAGTGTTGCTGATTTTTGCAATTAGCTAATTAAGTACTCAACTAAACAAACAACCTCTGGTTCCTTAAATTGCTGATCACTAGCAGAACTTCCAAAATATGCAGTATTCCTTAATGCAAGGAGGTGTTTTAGAGCTTAAGGCAATGCAGAGATTAAACGTGCACTAATTACTGCTATCTTCACAAGTAAAATTGAATTTCATTCACCTCAAACCTAATCACCTTAGCACACGTCAAAAAAGAAATCTACACACAATGCAGCAAAACCCAGAAAATCAATTCTGAGAGTAAATCCCTGTGCAACTTATTAAAAGCTGGACATTGATTTCTTGTTTAAAAATCCAAAGTATTTATAAGCATAAACATGTGGATAATTCTTATTTTGTTTAAATTCTAATGTAACACAATACACGTTTTCATAAATTCAGGAATACCTTTATGCTTTTTGTCATAATTAGGTAAACAGCTAGTGACTTCAGCTGTCAAAGGGAGAAAACACTTCCTTTGTCCATATTCTAACATCCAGAGTCTTAGTACAATGTTTGTATTAAAACAAAAACTTATGGAGGGAGACACTTGGCACTCTCTATGTAGCAAGAGCACATACTTTCTTTAAAAACGCTCCTCTGTCCTTTGAAAGGAATTACAGAAATTGGTATAGTTGAATGTATCACCTCCAGCAACAAGAGGTAGGTTTAAAAAGTATTTCTTAGTTCCAAAAGTATAACAAACAAAGGACATGCATCATTTTCTGCAATGGATTTTCACTCAGTGATTGCTAGTGCACAGGTAGTCTCATACTTTTATCTCAGTGGATATTGTTAACCAAAAGTTTCTCATCTGTTAAGACTATTTGAAGAATTACAAAAGCTTTTGTAATTTTTATAAGTATGCATCTTCTTTACAATCAAATTTTAATTTTATAAACCACTGAGATAGAAATTCAAAATTAATATTCTATGAGAGCATTTAAATGACCAGTGCCAAAAGAACTCTATTCCACTTTTTATTATAACTTAATTTGCAACATACTGTTTTTCTGAAGACGTAGTACCCTGCTCCATTTATAAAGCAAAACAATTGTGCTTTGTCTATCATCCAATGAGCAGCATATGGATGCCAGAGATGCAGCCTAAAAAGTAGCATCACACATTAAGATGTTTTTAACTTTGTGACATTTTTAATTGTTTAAAATAAAGAAAATTCTTAAGTGACCAATTTGTGAGAAGTATAATTCAACTCGATACAATGTAAGCTTTAGCTAACCTAAAAAGAAAATAAGATGTAATTGAAAACTACCATGTAGCAGACAAAAACAATTTCTAATGTTATGTTTGACAAAGTGTCCTACAGGACAGCACAATCACAATGCAAAAAGCACTCCTCCTGTTTTCTCAAAACAGTTGGTGGAACGGAATCCAAGGGTGTCACCTCTGAGGCTCCAGTTATCTCAATATATTAACGCCTTCCATGACTGGCTTTCCTCGCAAAAAAAAAAAAAAAAAAAAGATGTTTTTTCCTTACCAGTTGTTGTAATGAATCTTTGTGCTTGCTGTTCAGCTGATTCACAAAGCAACTGACAAGCCAATAGCATTCTATAGGATCCTCCACCATTTCCTCCATTGCTTTAGCAATAGCAAGAAACACTTCATCTTCTGGTTCCTGGAAAACAAAGCCAAAAAAGTAAACTACACAGAAGTATTGGACTATCTGATTTAAACTATTCTTAGATTCCTTATCCCTGCTATTTGGGAAAACAAACTGGAATCAATGTACACAAAGAGCTGTTCTGACATTCATAAATAAAACATTGGGCAGCTGCTGCATTATGGTGACAGATACCTATTATAGCAGAACAAGTAAGGTTTGTCTTGCTTTCAAAACTAAAACGTACAACAGGAGTTTGGAACAACTCTGATTCAAAGTTCTCAAATGAGCTAATATTACATCTTAACAAGGTAGCGATAATCCTACTTCTATGCCCCACATTTTTATACTGGGTAGCAGCAGAATTTTTCATCCTATTTCTTGCTAAGGACCAAACAGGCCCCTCAAACACCTTTGTCATGGATGTTACAGTTACTGAAAAAAATAACGCAGCCATGAGCTGTGTGCCTACCTTCAACATACAGAAAATCATTTGGTTTCAGATAAACATCTTCCTAGAGACAAATAAATATCTTTTCCTGGTGACGAGTATCTTATTCCGCACACTATATGACCAGAAGCATGTGATGGGCACACCATCATCTTTTCTCCTGAGGAGATACTTTCCAAATAGAAGTATCAGCATGCCTAAACCACAGTTAATGGTATGACTGCACATCAGGTAGACGGAGACGAACTAACTCTAAACCAGCTAGACCTCATGCCAACAGCTAGCTCAGGAAGTGTCTAAACTGGGAAGATGCACAAGGAAAGGTTCTGTATTTACCCTGTTTCTTACAGTCTTCCTTATGCAGGCAGTACTGACTATATTAGGAAGCCGAGTAACAAGCCAGATATGTGTCCACAGGCTGATCTACTGTAACCATCAGTAACAGTAAGCTATAGTATCACAGGCTTTTGCACAGATTACAACTCATGGAAAACACTTGGATAGTCTAAATACTACTGGGATGTGCCTCTGCTACATAGGCTGCTGCAATACACCCATATCCCTACTTAAACTCTCTGCTTTCAGATGCACAAAACATATTTAGCAGACTTCTGTGATTTTTGACTCAAGCATTTCAAAATATTTACACCAATCCAACATCATCTTTATACTCCCTCTATCTCCACAATAAAACATCTGCATTACTATCAAGTAGTAACCTCTTCGAAGTTTAAGGGGACAGTTACTGCACTGAAAACAGGCTGGCATAAAGAGAACAAATGCTTTCTGCAGCAAAACAAACTTAAGTTACAGGACTAATAACTGTGGATCTACTAAACACCATCTCTATGAAACCCCATCACAGTACTGAGAGCAGCTAGTGCTCTGGGATGCACCGACAAAACACTCACTCAGAAAGCAATACTGCTTGAGAAGGGACGAATTTTCAGCCTACTGGGTCACATGCCAAGATCAAAGAGATTTCTCTATAGGAAACTTGCAGGGTAGGATGGCCATGTTCCTAGGCAATGGTAAGGGCACGAAAACACTCTCCCTCCTCCAACAAGAATGCTGTATGTAATCCTCCAGTCCAAAATATTACTGTATTTTCCATGTTAACTTTAATCTTTTTTTTTTTTAAGTTGTTATGTCAAATTTTGTTATTACAGATGAAAAATAACAAAGTAAGCTGGGCTAGAGTGAACATGGATAAATCAATATTAAATACAGGATAAAAACCACTTCAGAAAGTCCCATGACTCCTTTCATCACCTTCTCTTTCATGGAGGCTTATACGCAAGATCCACACGTTTTTATCATCACATTACAGACTTATCATCAAAATATAGACTCGCTTACCCATATGTGAGTACACTGTAAATTACAGAGTACATGCATTAACTGACAAAAGCCTGGATCAGTTCAGACTAACAGAAAAAGGAGGTCAGTATATTAAAGTCTAGATCTAAAAACAAATAATTTAAATATCTGATGTAAACCGCTGCTTGTACTGGCTCTGAATTATCCTTGTTCCAGGACATTTAGGAATCCATGAGCTCCAATAAGATTATGTCATTTTCATTTCAGTCCTATAAAGAAACTGAAGTGTACTAGAGTACAAAAGGCTTGAAGCCTAGCAGGCAAAATACACAAAAGAGATTTTAAGGCATAAAATCTTACATAAGTACTTAGGGGAAGAAAAAGAGAAAAGCACTTTGACTAAAATCCCTCATTTTATACTAGTACTTCTCTGTTTTCCATTCACATTACTTTGTCTATCTATGTGCATTGTGGGGCTACTTGCAGTTCAGTTTCTCACAGGTTTATAGTTTGAAGTTAAATAAAATACTGTATTTAAAAGCCTGTTAAAATGACAACTGACCAATGGAAAAGCCAAGTTTCGAGGCAATTTTCCTGATTCCAGTTGATGTATGCGGAGGAAAACATCTACCTGTGGGGTAGAATCATTAATAAAACGAATTACACGAAGAGCATGGTGTATATCCCAGTACTGCTCCTTCCGGTACTTCATTACCAAAGCATGAGATTCATGGTGAGGAGGAATAATTCCTAAAAAAAAAAAAAAAAAAAAAAA